TATAAAAAGGAAGTCTTGCTGGCAAATCTTATAACTAATATCAAAATTCATTAATTGTGCCTCGAAAACCGGGGTTTTGCGTAAAACGAAAAAAGTGAAGAACAACACTAAGCGGCTTTTTAAAGAGTATTATTTGCGTTTGATTTTTGTTCCAACGAATTCAAATCAATACATCTGTGCTCACGTTATAAAATACCTAGCTACCTTCAAATGACTAACTACGTTTGGTTCACTTTCTTATATGTTTTTTCAGGAGGCTACTCAGCCAGTTGTCGCGGGAATAGGACCTTTTATGATGAGTGTGAACGCATGTGTTCTTGTGTGAGAGGTCGTCCAAGGCAATGTAAACGCGTCCGAAAAGACTTTCTATCCATGAAAAAAGAGGACAGAACTCATTTCATCAAAGTTTTAAAAATCGCGGCCACAAAAGAGCCATTTAGGTCACAGTATCTAGACCTGGCTTCTACGTACAAGAAATTCTTCCATCGTATCAGAAAGAGGATTGTTTTTCTACCCTGGCATCGAGCCTTTCTTTTAAGACTAGAAAATCTGCTGTTACAAATTGACTGCCGCGTTACCCTTCCCTACTGGGACTGGAGCCGAACATCCGGAAATCATTGGGAACTGGACAATCCAGATAGCATTTGGAACAAAGCTCATTATGGTCTCGGAGGCAATGGAACAGAACCCAATAATTGCGTCACTTCAGGACCATTTCGTGAAGAACAATGGAACATAACCATGGATGATGACAAAACAACTTGTCTGAAGAGACATTTCCATGGCAACCTCCCAGATCCACAAAAAATTCAAACTGTGCTAAGCTTACCCTGGGAAAAATTCTCCGACTTTGAAAAAATCTTGCGTGTTACATTCCACCATTCCGTAACTTGTGATAACATCGGTGGCCATGTCTGCTCCAAAGAAGCAGCTCAAACGCCTGAATTTATCCTTATAACTTCTTTTGTCGACAAGCTGTGGGGTCAGTGGCAGAACATAAGCGACTTTCACCGGGACACTGGGTATCCAATAGTTGGTAATAATCTTCCTGGCTTTTACTTAAGTTATGTTGGTGACGTGCTTCGATTGGACAGACAGCCTGA